TGCGAGTGTATCTTGTCGTCAAAAAAGTCAATAAAGGTTGCATAGCGAGTCACGCCGTGACGTCAGCATGCCGCCTCGCGAATCCGGCTTATTATATTCTCTTTGCTTTAATGTTGTGCGAACGAACTCGTTGTCGCCGACATTAAATTTTCCGCATTTTTCCTCTCCTGTCCGCGAGGTAAAAGGATCGCTGTCGCATTTCCGGCTGGCGATTTTCGCAGTCGTGGCGATTGAGAGACAGGGAGAGAGACGTGGCGAAATCTCAGTTCGGATTACATTCGCGATTACGTAAAAATTACATCATCAAAAAGATCGAGTATTTATTATTCTGTCGGATCGGATAAAGAGTGGAAGTAAATGTCTACTAATTTATGTGTGATCTCGTAAATAGAGAGACAGTTCGATCGAGCGAATGCTATATTATGCATGCTGTGATAAATAATTATTGCATAAGTTTCTTATGTCTTTTTACAGAATGTAATAAAACACATGAGTCATCGCGTTTATATTCTTCAACGAAACGTTTTAAAGCCACGTCTCTCCGCGATCTCGATCTTCGGCAGCGGTTAAGAGGAGTCGGCTCCGTTCTCATGCTCATCATTAAAATAAAGCGAAACTATCGAATGTTTTTTGCAGAAGGCCCACCACCAACGGAAGCCCGACAACCCGGTGAAAGTAAAGTTGAGATCGCGCTTCCGTTTGAGCTGTTCGACAAAATTCAGTATTGCATTCAGGGACTTCTTCGTGCGCCGATTGTACGGGCTGACGCTGATGTCACAGCAAAACTCGAGCACGGCCGATTCCTCGTCCGGATGGAGGCCGGCCTCCTCGAGGATCATCATTCTCTTGGACTTGCCGAGGATGTTGTCGTAGAGGGTGCCTTTTGGGATGCCGTATTTGGTCGCCGCCTGGGTGAAGCGCATCTTCTGGCTCACCACGGCCTCGATCGCCTCCTGGAGATCGTGCCGCGTCCACGTGGGTGCCTTCAGCTTCAGCAGGTTCGTATAGTCAGCTAAAAAATAGTCAGCGTTTTCTTTTCGACCTCTCTCGCCGCGTGTCTCGACTTTTTTTGTGTTTCGCGCTGAGAACCGCGGAAAGAAGCCGCACCTAGAGAGAAGATCGGCGGCGCATGAAACGCGCCTTCGTGTGCCTTGACAAAGCACTTTCTCCCTTTATATCACTCTCACTCTCGTTTGCGTCATTCTATATTCTCTCTGGATATTTTCAAAACACCCAATAGAAGACAGGTGAAGATAGTTGGTCGAAAAAATTTGAAAAATGAAAAATAAGCATGTTATTTGAGATTGTGTTGAGGATCTTTCAAAATGGACGTATATTATTAAAAACTTAATAAAATAAAATAGGAAGTCAAAGCGAATAAGAAAATAAAAATTGAAGAATAATGTTTTGCGACGGATAAGTTTTAGGGAGATAATGTCGAAGAAAAAACGAGAGAAACATTGGCATCTTGCGCAGAGAGCAAGTGCCAGATTATTAATTAGAGGAGATATAGCAAATTATGTTAAGAAATATATTGTTACTTTATGTAAATAACATAATTTGTGTGCTAATGAAAAAGAAAATGAAACTTGGGAGGCGGCAATTTCGAATAATAATATATCAAACCAGGTACAAATTATGAGACTTTCAGGATTTATTTATCCTGGACACAAGCGATCGGGGAATAACTTATTAGTCATAAAACGGGAAGGTGACAGCAGCGAATAAGAGGAGTATAGTGGAATGCGATGCTGAGATAGATTTTTGTTTTCGACGATCCTTGCGAACTGATTGCGCATTCTGCTTCGCGTTAAGAGATGTTGATTTCGATTCGACCGTCATATTTTACGTCGTCGATATTAAACCATAATTATCCCGGCCTGTTATAATTATACTGTAATTATCCCTTTAGTCGTGCGCGGTTCGCTGCGTAACTCGAAGCGAAAGGGCCGACGGGAAGACGAAGGTAGGGAGAAAGGGAGAAGCGGGAACGGCCACTGTGTGGTCCACAGAGCGCGTCACACCCACGCGTGTTAGCAGCAGTTAACGTCACTCACGTCGGCCATGCGATTTATGCGGTGTCGCGGCGCCGCGCTGGCCGCGCTGATTTCTGGTCCGCGAATTGCGCTCAATTATGCAAGAAGAAATTAACTCGAGAACCGAAGAAGCGACGTCGAACGATACGATCGGCGAAACCGGTTTTACTACGGCAAACTCAATTTTTATCCTTCTTTTGGTGGAATGACAATCTTCGTCAGAATTTTCATTTGAATTTTACAAATTAATGAAACAATATTCCGACCAATTCCAACGATTCCGGGGCTTCCTGTGTGAATGGATATTTTAAGTACTATCGCTGAAATTGTTTAATATACATGTCTCGCCGCGAAAGAAATGGAAAAACCGAAAAATCGGAAGTTGTCTTCATTTTGCATAACAATTCCATTGCATTGAAATATGAATAATTTCGTTTCGCGCGCGAATCGATCGTCCCGCAACCGCCGGGAACGATCGTTGCTGAACTAAAAAAAAAAAAAAAAAGAGAAAAATGCTATATGTAATGTCGTGTGTAATGGCGTCATAGCTAAATCCGGACTGGAATAATCGCGTCGAATAATATTATCATACAATGGCGTTTTGTCGGGCGTGTAACCTGCAGTTTTGCGCGGGGCATTTTCTCTCGGATTGACAAATCGTCAAGCGGACAATCACGCTTAGGTAATCGCCTCGTCCTCAAAAGGCGCGCGCAAATGAAGTATTAATCTGATTACCGGTTTGCTTGGTCAAAGTATCAGGAGAGATTTTTCATCATTTCAGTCTATAGCGATAAATTATGATTCTCTTGTCTGATAAAAATTCTCGTCTGAAAACTTTAGACGTTTACATATAAGATGCGTCGGTAAGAGCGCACTTTCTTTCAATTACAAATCCTTCGGCGAAGTGAATTTAAAGTGAATTTTATTCTAACGAGAATTATACACGAACACGGTTTTTTAATTTCCAAGATTTTGAATTACTAATTTTCACGGCGCGGGCGGAGAGCTGGAAGCTGGAAGGCCGATGTTCGTTTCGAGAAACGCTCTCGCGGACGAGAAAAGCGCGGAATAAATAAACGCGATCGTTAAGAGAAGCAAACAGCCGACGGCGGTCGCGTCTCATGGGAAGTCAAGGAGTAATCGAAGAAAATGATTTAAGCGAGTCGAGGGGAGAGCGCACGCCCACGCGTGCGTACGGGACACACGCATGAACACGCACGCGTGTATGCACGCGCGGCACCCGGGGATCAATTCGAGACGCGTATTGCAGCCGTTTATGCGCGTTTATGCGTATTTACGTTCCCGGTCGAGCGTGCTGCAGCGAATCAGGGATCGAAGTCGGGGAATACGACTGGGAAAATTGCGTTTGACGCACTTTTGCACCGATTGAAATTCCCGTAGTAATGCAAATCCCGTTGCGTTAACAGCGCGACGACGCGTTTGTTGAAAATATATACCAATTTTTCCTTCGAAACTGCCTGGCGCGCGACTCACGAATTTTTATGAAGTTCGATAATATATGCTTATGCAAATTATGTTTACGTCAATTGGCGAGTATTCGCGCGGCTACCGGCGCTCCTCATAGAACAAAAACACGCAATTATACGGACTACAAATAGCTTCCCGTGTCTCTCGAATATACTGACGCGCATTTAAAAGCGCGAATGTTTATTGTTGCATTTAAAACAATGTTTATCTTTGGATTCGCGAGTTAATATATTAGTCGAAATTGAGCGGTCTTTTTTTTCTCTCTCCTTCCGTGTGCGGTATTTTTACGCGTGTGCGATGGTCGCGCATGCAAGAGCCCGCGGTCGCCGGTGCGTAAGAGTTACAGCGAGTCTCGCACGCTAGGCATTGCGAATCGCGGGCGTGTTATCGGAGCTATTAAGCCGGCGTCGACTACTCGGTCGTCTATCTAAATTGCTTTCTATATTAAAGCAAAACGCATTCCTGCGCTTTATTATTGCCGGGATAATGACGCGGACCGCGCTCGCCCGCTTCCCTTCGCCGTTTATTGCTGCTCGGCCACCACCTTCGGCTCTGTATCTTGACCTCTCACTGCAGTCTCCCGTTGCCACCTCCCGTGGTCGTCAACGACGTCGTTGTAGGTAACGGCTATGTTTCCGGAATCTTATCGTTCGTATAAGTAACGCCCGAGGAGGAAGAACAGGCAGCAATGAGATATCGATCATAGGGGAACAGCGACAGATGTTCCACCCTTAAAGATGGAAGATCTGACGTGAAAATTAACGACGAGTCCGCGTTTACTACGAACAGGGCTCGTCGTGTTCGAAGTTGTGCGATTCAATGAACGGAATAACGTGACCGTGAACTTGGATCGGTCGACAACCCTCGAGGGATGTTTGAGGGGAGGAAAGCTTCTCTCGAACTCGGAAGGGATGATCGGTCGTTCCGCCGCTACTTACTACGGAAACCGATCGGGCGACAGATATAGCGGCGGATAATGTGACAGATACACATAGAAGGGAAATGTCAAGTCTTTAAACATGTTGCGGAACAAATTGTACAGGGCGTCTCGGATTTACTGTACTTTTTTTCAACGATAAATGTTATGTATGTATAAATCATAGAAAAACAATTATTCAATGAAATGTGATAATAGCGAATAGCAAATAATTAAACATTACTGCACGTTCAATAATTTCGATTATCGATTTCCAAATATATTTTATCAGGATATCTAAATATTTTGAAGTTAAATATTTAAATAATTGTAGTGTCAGTTTTATTTTCATAATTTTGATCTTAGTTTTTTTTACGTCTATCGATGAAAGCAAGCGCAGTTGCCGCGAGAACACCCTGTGTATAGAAATAGACCAGACATTGCGCGGCTGTGTGTGCACTCTAACGTGGAGGCCTCCACGTACGTCCGTGTCGAGAGGGCGATTATCCTGAAACGTATCGAAACGAGACGAAGGGGAGAAAAACGAAAACGGGACTCACCTGCTATACTGGAGGTGGAGGCGCCGAGCCAAGCGTGGGACGACTCCAACAACTTGGCCTGAAACAGAAAAGTTCGGTCGGTCAGACGTCAGCGTGCTGGAACGGCGATTAGTGGCGATTTTCCCAGCGGCCGGTTGGGAAAACGACTTAATCCCTTATCCGGGCAATCTCTTTTTCTAACCGAAAGCAAAACGAGCTTCATTGAGATAATTATTTAATCGAAAATCGCTCAAGAGAAAGAGGGAGAAAGTTAAAGTATTTTAATCTCCGCTGGCGCTTAGCGTCGCAAAACACGAGTTACTTTGAATAGTTAATTATAAATTACATAATAAATATGTTAATCCTTATTTAAAAACTAGCTTCGAAGAAATGTTTTAATTATCACTAAACTCGAGCGATTCATTATATTTTTAGTTTAGTTAACAATTTAAAAGAATGAAGACTCAATGTCTAGAAATAGTCAAATGTGAATGAAAAAAATATAGTCAACAAAATCTAAAGTGATTTGATAGTTGAAACATTTCCTAGAACATGACTTAGTTTTTAAATAAAAATATAAACATTTCATTAGAGACAAAATAAATATAATAATATAGCTTAACTTCTTGAAAAATAAAAATTTTATAGCAATTTGCGCTCAATTGAGATTCGGCGCATTTTTGCCGCGCAACACGGATCAACACAAGTTCGTGAAAATTTCTCCGAAGGGAAAAACTGTGCACATCGGAAACGCAAGGTAATCGAAGCTATTCACCTCAGCCGACAACTTTGCTAATATGCGAGGCTTTCGAAAGGGGTTTGCGAGACGCCGAAAGCGCAAGACACACGCAAAGTTGGCTCATTTGAAAAGTTTCACGCCCTCCCCGTCTACACCCACCTTTCGGATTTTGCGATTTCCGCAATATCGCGGACAAGCGTACGCCGCTACGCTTTTCGTGTACGCTACACTTCCGGCTGGGCACTCGCCCGGACTTTTCAAATCAATTTTTAAGGGTCGCTCGATGCGCTCCGATCGCCGCACAAATCCCTTCCGCTCCGTTTCTTCCATTTTTTCCTCCTGTTTTTTTTTTGTTTTCCACGCGTTTACACTCGCGTCGAGAAAAGTTTCGTAGATTCGCGAGCTCCGCTCGCGGAGCTTGAATGCCGTTTCTGTTTGAAGAATACTCGTGCGGGGGTGTTCGCACTATCATCCACCTACTAGAAGTGTATTTTTTATTCGTGAGCATCGAGATTCCAATGTTCATCCGCGCTCGAATTCACTTGCCGCGTCTATTATAAAACTTATAAACGGATTGAAACTATCGGCGTATCAACAATTTATGTTAAACGCCAAGGCGCATAAAAGACGACTTTCACTGTTCTTCGCGAGGTTCCCGGATGTGCGGGGACGTTACTCCGCACAAAAAGCACAAAAAAGAGAATTGTTTATATCGCAGGAAATCCAAATCGTTCAAATCCATTAAAATGCACCCTTTTCGTCGTTACCGTCGCGTCGTCGTTACCGTGAATCGTTTTTTGGGGTTTCTCGCGGTCATCAGGACACGGCGCAAGGCGCCGTAAGGTGAGGGGGAGGGGTGTTCACCACGAAGAGGAAGGCGGTGGGCGACGGGTGCAGCGAAATAACGTCTCCGTCGCGTCGTGACACGAGGGGGATGGCACCGAGGCTGGCAATTTCGCGAAATAGCCCCGCGTCAATAGACGTGCACACGCATCTCTCGGCTAAACCACACAAAGAATTATTGAGCAGCCCGCTCGCTGTTTCCGACGAGGCTCGCGCTCGTGCCGTAGGAGGACGCATAAGTGAGACCAAGAGAGCGAGAGGGAAGCAGTGCGGGAAAAAGCGTGGGCGGGCGGGAGGGGAGTGGGAGAGAGACTGAGCCTGCTCTGCAGTTGTAACTTGGACGCGCAAGTAGTATATCGTGGCGCGTGCATTTTTCATTGTCTCGTGTCCCCCCCCTCTCTCCTCCCCCGAACCTCCGCTCTACACTCTGCGGTGCAGCTCGCGGAATACGCCGAGTCGAGTGCATACGCGACGTGCCGGTTGACGTGTGCATTGACGAGAAAATTGCGAGCGTCCCTATACTATATCGCGGTCGCCCACCCCCCGGCCGCGCGCTCTCCTTCCCTCTCTCCCTCTCTTTCCGCATTTTTCCCCTATCTCTCTTTCTTTGTCTCCCCCTATTCTTTTTTTCAGGCCGTCCCGTCGTTCTTACGTTGCACTCGGAATGCGACGCCTGTTCGACCGCTTCTCTCGCGGATAATCCCGTTCGACGGACTTTCGCGGCGTCGCGAAAAGAATGCGACGCGAATGGGGTTTGTTCGCGTATATTTTTGCAATGAAAGAATTGCTTATTACGCAGACGAGAGTAATCAGAAGCATATGCCAATAAGAATCACATTTTTCTCCTCCTCGTAGCTGGGAATAATGTCTCCAAGACTATTCAAATTATGTCTAAAGCATTTTTTTTATATACACAACGAGAGAAAGTAATTAAATGTTCTATTTCGAGTGGCTCATTCCATAAAATCACGCGTTTTAATTTCGTGGCAAGTTTTCGACTGACCACCGTTATTACAGGATTATACATTTTTTGCCTTCTTGTGACGATGCTTAAGAACTTCAGCAAGTAGGAAATCGCCTTCGGAAGAGTGAGTCGCGCGCGAGGAGGGTACAGAGCGGCGATGGCGGCGTCTCGACGGCGCACAGAGACGGCGTCATTCAGCAGCAGTCTGCATCCCAATTTGTTTCGACATGCAGTAGTACAGTCGTGTACAGTCCGGCCAGTTTCTGTATGATGCATGCCGCTAATGGAAATGAGGCTTCTCTCTTTCTCTCCCTCTCTCTCTCCTCCTCCATTTCCCTCGTCTCTCTTCTCTCTCTCTCATTCCGATACATCCGTCTTCATCATTCTCTCCGTCTTCCCCTTTCATCCCCGACCGACCGACGGGAAGACACGAGCCACCCTGGCCGCGGCACCGAGAGAAGGTTCGTGAATTAAATATCACACCGGGCTCGTGCGCGATTTTACCCCGCTTGTGAATCCTCCCTCCCCGTTCTTCTCTCGCGCTCTCATTCTGTTGCTCTTTGCCTCTCTTCAGCATCGCATGCACCCACTATTAACCGCCTTCAAATTACCGGACTGACCGCCTTGAATTTTTCACGAACACCGGTGCCGCCGTTGCGGTGCTGCTCCTCCTTCATCGCGTTGGGATGCGGCCGAGAATTCCGAAAGCTGTTAAGGATGTTTCCGAAATACAGTACGCGGATAACCGTCGATGCGTCTAAACGGACAATTTATGGCTTTATACAACATTAAAAGACGAAATTATGTTAATCACTGCAATATTTTAGAAAATGATAAGCAAAAAAAAATAGCTAAATAATGACGTGTTAATAGAGCGATTAACTGTCGCAACGCAACGTTTTCGAAAATCGTGCGCGCGAATCCACTTGACGACTCTTGGGATTCGTTCACGGGATTAGACGATGACGACGGCGACCGCCCGACACCTCGGCGTCGGGAATAAAATATCCGGGCTCTCGGGATATCGCCGGCGTGAAGAAAACTTGGGCTATTTTCCAGCGAAACAAGTTACCGGAAAGTTTCGGTCGCGCTGAACGAAAGTTCGCCTTCTTCGGGCTCGGATAGAGATTCGCTTCTCGTCTCTTCGCGTTCGAGATCCGGCGACAGCACGGGCGAGCCCTCACCTCGGTAGCGTCGCGACGCCTCGCCTAGGGTATCGGGATAAAATAAACGCGGTATACACGGGAAATTACACGTTACATCGAAGTTTCACGGGCATGCGAGAAGATGGAAACGGAAACTCGATCTGGAGGAGAAAACTTCCTTGCGAGAAAAGTGCGAGCGCTATTACTCGCCATTGTAATTTTTATAGTCACCTTTAATCTTTTTCGGACCGGCAAACTTCAATTGAAGTGACGAAAGTCATACGTGCGCCTCACGCGAGCACGATATTTGTGCGCGATTTAGGTACGATCGATAATTTTTCTTCAACTTTCCTCGGCATTGAATTAAAAAAAGTAATATTATTTTGCGAAACCGTACTTTTGCGTCTGAATTACTATACGTGTGAAATAATATATGCGACATCAAATTAATTTTGCAACATAATCGCTAAAGGCCGGTGACAGTACTATTACTACATTATTATATTACTATGATATGCACTATGATTTCGCAGAAGATTAACTACGTTATCGATCCCCTGTCATTCTACATGTAGTTGTTGTTTTTTTCTAATATTAATGATGTAATATGGAATATCTCTGATAACATAACTACGATAATTCGGAATTAAACGCATATTTCATTTGGGCATAACTTCTGATTTCGTGATTCGAGCGAGGAGAGTACAATCGCGCACACCGCGCCGCACAAAGAAATATCGCGAGCGGCATTATTAATGTTAGTATTAAATGTTTATTATCACTTCGTTATTTCCGACGAAAAATAATTAGCGTCGTGTCGCGGGGCGCTGAGCTCCCGATTTGCGCGTCGATACCCAATGCTTTATTGCATTTGTGCTTCTTTCGTCGAGAGAGAGATACGTCCAAAACGCTTTTCGCCGAGCACGTTCTGGAAAATATGTAAATAAACATTGATACAGCCGATTTATCTAATTTGGACGAAATTACGTTCGAAATGATATTCTGACTGCAGTAATCAACCATTTTATATTGAAGATACGTAAAATCAACATATGTCATTATGATAATAATGAAGATAAATAATATGAAAAATTGCAAAATCGTTGTATTGTCGACTGCGTGTAAGCTCATTTGAATTGGGGAAAGGTCGCGATAAATAAAATAAAATAAAATAAAATAAACAAAATAAAATCCATTAAATCATCGCATGCAAAATGTCCTTTTTATATCAACGATTTTTCAGATAAGAGATAAAATATATATGCAAAAGAGATAAAATATATATGCGGTCGGAAAAATTCAATAATACTCTTCATGTTTTTCACGATGAGAAGTTAATTTCACATCATTTTGATAAAAAATGCATGGAGTTTATCATTATAAATAAA